ACCGTGCTTGACTTGCAAGCACGGGAACACAAGTTCAGTCCCCAGAATCAAGGGAAGGACAGCGGGGTGAGGTGACATACCCTTGTAATTCCAGTGCTGGGAAAGAAGAGACAGATAGACCCTTGGGGTTTGGTCTACTTAGCTTTGAGAGAGGAGAGAGAGAGAGAGGGGGAGAGAGAGAGAGAAAAGAAGGAGGAGGAGGAGGAGGAGGGAGGGAGGGGAATAAAGACAGAAAGAAGAAAGAAAAGAGAGTAAGTGGATAGTGTCTGGGGCCTGAGGAATGACATCCAACACCCAAGGTTGTCCTCTGACTTCTACATGCATGCACATCACATCTATGTACACTGGAACACAAATGTTGCACCTGTACAAACATACACAGACACATACAGCACACCAAAAAATTAAGAGAGAGAGATGAAGACACAGAAATAGATCCAGCAAGCCAAGAGATGGCGAAGCCAGGCAGACACTGGCGGTAAGAGGTACAGCATACATTCGCTGGGCACTCTGGGTGTGTCTCTCATCCTCATACCCTGAGAAGAGTGAAGTGGAGCAGTGGGTAGGACTGTGGGTTTTGCACTTGGTAATGAGTCTGACACTCAAGTGTTATTATTATACTATTTTATAGGTGAGAGAATTGAGACTTAGACTGGAGCCATTAGGGAAGCAAAGGATGAATACAGGGTTTGAACCTAGGAATCTGACAGAGGCCCTACCTAGCTCTTAACCGCTGATCTGAGGCAGACTGTGACACGTGTCCCCCCCAGCATCCTCGCCTCTGAGACCCAGTCACCTAAGAAGCGTTCTGTGTCTATGTCTTGTCTCAGTAACCCTATGCTGTTCACAAAAATGTAAGCCTGAAGTAAGGCTGATAGCAGAGATGCAAAATGGGATGCAGTGTGCTCTGTTGAAACCACTCAATGACATTCCTGAGCAATAATTAAGGAAGGAAGAAAGAAGAACGAGGGAGACGACAATGTCTGGCAGAAATCACCACATCTTTGGCACTTATGGGGCGGGTCGCTTGACCCCCGGCGTGGTGTGTGCGGGCACCCTGGGGTCTCCGCCACACCTGGCTAATCCCGGCGTGAATCTGGCTGCAAGCGATGTGGGGAGCGCGCCTGGGCTCCCGGGCGCACTCACTCTGGATGTGGCCCGGGGTCAGGGGTCAGGTGTGCGTGCACTCTCCCGCCATGGTTCTGGTCCGCTGGCTAGCTAGCGGCTGGCGGGCCTGGCCCGATGCGCCTCTCTGGAGACGGCAGGTGTAAAGACTTCTCTGATGCTGGCTGTAGCTGATAGCTACACACTTCTCTGGAGCGGAGAGCTTCTTCTGCTACTAGAGTATTATCTAGTCGGGATCCCGCCTCTATTACACCCTTGTGCCCTTCCTCAGGATTGCGGAGTCCTGGCCAGTGAACTCCACAGGGAAGAAACACGGAGGCGGCGAAAGCTAGGATATCCGTGGGTCGGTAACGGAGAGTGCTGCTCTCCGGTGAGATCAGGTCGCCGGTAGTAAGACACAGGACTCAAGGCACGGCTTAGTCTGTGTTTACTGCTTTAGACCCAATCTCTGGGACCCAGTCTCTGACCCAAAATCCCAAAATCCCAATATTAAGAGAAGGCTAGGATATTTTATACCATGGGGGTAGTGGTAAAAGCTTTGGCTGTTAGATGCTTTGTGAGACATTCTATTTACATGTGGAAGTGGATTTCTGCCAGACAGTTGTCTGCTAGGAAAATTACAAGAAGGCATGGTATCTTTTCAGAGCCAAAGGCCATGTTTATGTCAGGGCATTTGTGGCGGCCACTTCAAAGGGAGAGACAGGAAAGATGCCAGAAAGCACCTTGCTATGAAAAGGAGCCCGCGGCACATTCCCCGAGCTGCATGAGCTGTCCGGTGTGAAGGGGCTTCAACTTTTGCATAACAGAGGTCTCCCAACAGCACTGACTTTGATAAATGACTGCCTTCTCCATATCCAGATTGGTAGCTTGAGTCTAAACCTGAACAGTGGGGTGGAGCTGGGTTCCCTGAAGTCGATGTGGGAACAGCTTTGGTGAAATAGAGCTCATAACAAAATTACAGACGAAAGAAAATGAGCGGTTTGTGCCAAGGCAGTGGATTTAGCACCGTCTATGACTCCAACACCAATTATCCCAGGGGAGTCAATTCCATCCCACTATCCTCTTCCGTTTAGGCCTATTTGGATTTTAATTGGTTATGTTCTTCTTTATCCTTTGTGAATTAGGATTCTCTTTCCTCTCCATCCCTTTTCTTTCTTCTTCCTCCAACCCTCTTTTCTACTCAATAAACACCACTGGACTGACATAAATTCAAGGTCTCACGTTTGTCCAGTGGCACAAGAGCCAATGCCATATTTCCAATAATCACTCCAGAGACACCACTGTAACCACATCAACACAGCTATTTCTCCAGCACTGTCACTCTGTTTCTTCAGCTTCCACTAGCAGCTACACTGCCATCTTGAAACCTGAGTCATCTTCATTTCCACCAGTCAGGACCCAAACTCCATAAATTTATCTCTGAGACAACCTAGACGGCCTCCTTCTCCCACAACCAGCCACTGTCTTGCTTTGGATGTGGACACTTTCATAAGTTCTTTCAACGTGATTGATTCTATTTTCCCTCTGCTACCCTGCTTTCCAATCCATCTTGACCTCTCTTATCAGGGGTTTTGACACCCGAGACATGATCATATCACAATTCCAATCAGTTTTCACTGTATATAAGCTCCCTCATAGGTTATCCAATTCCAAGTGGTCAGATCTTAAAGACATGTACATACGCGCACCACTAACTGGACTCAGCGGAGTGTGTATATGTGCATGTGTATACATGCATATGTAACAGTGATAAAGAGGTCACAAAATTGAGAGGAGTGAGGGTGATGACGGCAGAATTGAGGGGAGTAAGGGTGGAATGACATAAATACAATACTCAAGTATGACGGTCTCAAAAAAATAATAAAGAAAATATTTTTTAAAAAGAAGTGACTGGTGACACCACAGCTATTACATGCCAAAACAAGCCTCCCAGGCCTTAGTTCAGACCATTTCTGAGTTCTTGTTTACCTTTCCCATCACAACCTCCCACTGACACTCACATGCATCCCTGTTCCAAGTGCAAAGCTCCTCTGGCCAGGCCTTTGACAATGGTAGAAAGGACCTCTGAGAGGATCTTTCTTCTATACAGCAGGATCTACGGTTGACTACAATGATCAGGAATACCAGACTCACTATTTACATTTACAATGGATATCAAGAGATGGCAACTCCCTATTTGAAAAAAAAAAAAAAAAGCAGTTAGGAAAATGTACTAAAATAATCCTTGAACTTGGGCCAGCAAGTGTGAAGTGATGAAAGAGGTTTTGGACTCTCATATTACTAAAGTAGATAAGATAAGGGTGGTAGTCATTAGTCCAGACAACTTTCTAGAATGGTGAAGCTAGCTAAGAAGAGTTAAAACCTTAATAAGAGTCTAGGGAGGAAACAGATCACAGGTAAAAAGCAACACAGCTTTTCTACTCCTAGCAGCGATGAGCCTCCTGTTCTTAGTGATCAGGAGTTTTCAGAGTAGCCCAATATTTCCAGCAATAATTTGGAGGGACCAGAAGAGAATAGGGTAGCCAAAGGGAAATTAACCATAGCTGTATGCTCAGGTTTTGAGTTGAGAGTCCTGGAGTCACCCAACAATCCTACTCATGATGCCGTGATGATGTCACAAATGAAGTTGGCCCCCATCCCACACCCTGCTTCCTTAGAGCTAGGCAGAGGAGCCAGAGGGAAAGTCCATCTTCTGTAGCACAGCCTTACCATCTACTTCACTCAACTGCCTGTCAAGTTCACTACCAAGAAAAGGGGGTGAGTTGTATCTGGGCAACTGGGAACAGCTGGTCTTTTGCCTCTTGTGTTCTAAAAATGAACTGCAGGCTGAGTAAGGCTGAAAGGGTTTGTTTTATCAAAGTTTCTTGTTATTTTCATAGCAAGAACTACAGTGAACTTTACCCTAGAATAAAGTCTTAATCATTCTAGAGTTTAATTTAATGAGCTGCCTCCCCAGAGAGTCATACTTACTTTTTAAACTAAATTACATGGAATTTTGCTTTTTACTGTTAAAGAAAAGCAAAGATGTATCAACTAAAGCCAAAGTCAAGTGTTGTCAGAAACTAAAAATCACTGTCTAAAACCAGAAGTCAAACTTCCCATAAAGACCTAGTTTAGGGCCAAACTCAACAGAAGAAAAAAGAAATTCCCTCCTGTAAATCGTGTTTTATGGTTCCAACATTCATAAATTCAGGAAATTAGAATTCCTCACCTAATTCTGTCCTGATTTCTTCCCAGTCTCTACTTGTTTGCCAGAAACCTGATAGTCCCCTGAAGGGAAGTGAGGGCCGCCTCTAGAATGGTCACTGGAACTCTGTCAAAGCATAGGTTCAGTTATCTTCCTGCCTCAGTCCACTAGAGAAGAAAGCAATTTCCAAGATGGGATGGCTTAAGAGACAATTGACAGAGTGCCTATGGTTCCAAAGTCTATTTCATGAACCTCCCATTTATCTCCAGAGGTTAGGGAAGTGGCCTTACAAATCTTGGCTGAGCCGTGGAGCATTTTAGCAATGCAATCAAAGGTAGAGAATCCTTGAAATAATGGTTTACATGAATTACATTAAATGAGTTACAAAAATACCGACTACACTGAAATAGTTTCCATGGCTGTGGGGGACATCCCAGACCCCAGATAAGAATGCCTGCAGGAGTACAGAATGGAAACAAGGATGAGAGAAATCAGAGTGAGGCCGGAGGTCCAAACACACCCCGAATCCACAGGGTGAGGACAACTGTTACTGACACATTCTAGAGCTTCAGCACTTGGAAAGGCTTCTGGAGAACAAGGATGAACAGGAGCTAAGAAGCCCTATGCATCATCCCCCACTGACACCCTGTCTCTTATTTCTTCTCAGGGCCTACATAACCAAGTCACAATGTCGAGTGAAAATAAGAATAAGCCCAGTGAACCCAAGACTGAGCCCAAGAACTGTGATCCCAGATGTGAACAAAAGTGTGAGTCCAAATGCCAGCTCAGCTGCCTAAAGCTGCTGCAACGCTGCTCTGACAAGTGCCCACGGGAAAAGTGTCCACCACCGCCAAACTGCCCCCCTTGCCGAAAATTGTCCACCCCCGCCAAACTGCCCCCCTTGCCCCCCGCCTTGTCCCCCATCATGCCCCCCACCACCGTGCCAGCCATGCTCCCCCAAGTCATGTGCTAAACCCTGTCCTCCCAAGTGTCCCTCTCCCTGCCTACCCCCAGAGTGAGGCACCATGGGCACCACTAGCCCCACCATAATGGCCCGCATTACCACCTACAACATTGTGGGGCTGGAACTGAAACCACGAACTGACAAGTAAACGTGTTCCTCTGCTGGGCAAGACTTCTGCTGTCTTGGAGGGTTTGCTTTATGTTGTGTGGTTGTTGTACAGCATAAGCCAATAGGCAATCCATGGACATAAACCCTCAGGGACTGCCTCTGTGTGCCACTCATCAGGGAAGCCCAGCCCTGTTGGAGCAAACCCTAAGTGATTCATAAATGCGGCTGTGCCTGGTAAATTATATCACCCCAGAAAGCAAGAGGAGGCGAGGGAAACAGGAAGTACAAAAAGTAAGGTATGAGAAGAGAGAGCAAGATGTTGGTTAAAGGCCCAAAAAGCTCAGGAGGGGGCATTCGACCACCTTCACTGTCAGCCCTGCTGCATAGTACTTAGACATAGTACTCGGACAGCGAGGTTTCAACTCTAGCTCCACTTGTTACATAAGCTGCCTAAGTTCCCCATGCCTCAGTTTACTTTACTATGCAAAAGGAGGACACAAACGTCACTGCTGTGACAGCATGACTGCACAGCTTAAGAAGGAACATATGCTAAGTGTTTAGTTTACTGAGACAGCAGGTTCTAGGTGGAGGGAGCACCCTATGCCTGCTCAGCAACAATGTTCCTTGTGTCTGAGCGTCACCGCCCCACACTTCTGAGTAGACTATATAAGTCCTCTGAGAACAGTGCTTATGTTTCCACGTACCCCTGCACACACATAGCTAGACAATGGCGCACGCCTTTAGTCCCAGCACTCAGGAGGCAGAGGCAGGTGGATCTCTGTGAGTTCAAGGACATCCTGGTCTATATAGTAAGTTCCAGGACAGCTGGGGCTACAGGGAGACCCTGTCTCAAAAAGAAAAAAAAAAAAAAAAAAAAAAAAAAAAAAAAAGAAAAGAAAAAGAAAGGGATTGTATCAGTGACATGACTTTGATACCGAATTATAATTACTTAACATGCCAATACTGAGAGAACTCCAATGATGGGTACATGGGACCTTTGCTCTTACAAATTTATGTGAATCTGCATTTCCAAATTGTCACTTAAGTACAAAATCCAGCTATGCATGAGGGAGAACCCCAATTAGAAATGAACAGGGATGGCACTCAAAGCTGACGTTTCAGTGGGGATTTTTACAAGGACTTTGAGAGTCCATTTCAAACTGAATTAGTTCACAAGAAATGTATTGGTTCATATTGCTGAGATGGATATTGGAGTGGGGTGCAAAATTAATGCTGTAGCAACCAAGGCTTCAGGGCCTGGGTGTGTGGACTCATCCACAGTTTTTCCGTCTCCCTCATATCCCTCAAAACATGTCCTACGCAGTTCTGTGGTAAGGTCCACACGTCTGACGTGCAAATGGTCAGGCGTGTGGGTGCTCACACTATCTCCTGAAAAGGCACCTGATTTCCTAGAGGTCATGAGCTTACTTCTGTGGCCAAGTAGCTGACAGAGCTTTGCCACACAGGTCAAATCAACTGTGCATTTTAATAGTCTACAACAGTAAGATGAAAATATGGGGACTGGCGAGATGGCTCAGGGGTTAAGAGCACTAGTTGCCCTTGCAGAGGACCTGGATTCAGTTCCCAGTACCCACTTGGCAGCTAACAACCATCCATAACTCTGGTTTCCAGGATCCAGTACCCTCTTCTGGCCTCTGCAGGCATTGCACACATATGGCACACTTACATATGTGCAGGTAATGCATTCATACACATAAAATAAAAAATTAATTAATGGAAATATATGTGGGATTCTCTACAGTCATAGTAAGAGGTCATGAAAAAGGCTGACCCGGAAGAGTTCTCCATGGAATCATGGCACATCAATAGCTCTGTCTTCCTAAGGCCATTGAGATAATGGTTCAGAACAATAAAAGGCAAGTGCAGGTGCTCCCAAACGTGCCTGAAAAATAGACTGCAAGAATTCCTTCTGATTTAGCTTGTATAATCAACTGTTTACAGAAGTTGACCTTTAAGACAGAAAGCTAGACCAAGGACTTTGGGGTACTGTCGTCTCACTTTTGTAAGGTAGGTCTGAGCCTCGGGATTTCCTGGCAAGGATGGGACTCTGGTCCCAAAGTTCCTACATTCCAACATGCAGAAAGGTATCTGCTGGACATCAGAGACCTCTGGAAGCCCAGGTTAGGGTACCATGGGGTGGGCTGTGGTGAGCTATTGAAAGCAAGAGGGAGGAGAAAGAACAGACTAGTGATACATGCTTTTGCATCTATTAAGTTATTTAAAAACAACAAATCCCAGGACCCCAGGGTTAACAGGATCACAACTAACCATCCTTTTAGGAAAAAAAAAAATTCTTAAAATTTCAAAAAAATTATTTGGTCTTTTTGAGACAGGGTCTCCTGTAGCCCCAGCTGGCCTGGAACTCACTGTGTAGACCAGGCTGGCCTCAAACTCACAGAGATCTGCCTGCCTCTTGCACATATGATAATGTATATCAAAAGTATGGAATGGCTCAACAGTTTGGCCCAGTGAATCCACTTCATAGAACTTAGGTAAAGAAAATTGGATAGGGGTGGGGAGCTCCATGAACTAAGTCAGCCACCACAGTGTAACTTACAAAAAATCTAAACATTTAACAAGATTTGATTAAATAAATTTAGACCTATTGCTTGGTGGAGCATTACAAAGTCATTAAGAACGTACTAAAGGAGGGCTGGAGGTGGAGGTCAGCAGTAGAGCACTTCAGCATATCCAAAGCTCCATATCTGATGCCCAAAATGGAAAAAGTGCTAAAGACAAAATAGTAAGGCCTCAGCTTGCATAAAGCAGGTACCATCCCAAAGACACTATGAACAATGGTAGAGGGAAAGTTGTGGGTGTCCTCACGGTTTTAATACAACGGAGTTACAAATAACTATAACTTTACTGCTTTCTAGATTTCCATTAGCATGCTTTTATTCATTTTCTAATAGAAAAAAATAATCATAAAAAATCATCAATACTTGAAGGGGCTCCAAAGCCTCTGATAGGACTTGGAACAGCACATGCACCATGCACAAGGGGCTTCACCTTGAACCGTCTTTCCTGGCATGGGACCTCAGCCTTAGAATGCCAAACAACTCCACTGGTGACTAGGCCAGGAGCTGTGGCCTCCCAGATTTCTAGAGCTCTGCATAAAATCTCCAAAGAGACCAGCTCTGAGAAGACAAAAGCATGCATCGCCAGCTTAGTACTTCCATGTAAATGAAACTGGAGATAGCCATCTTAATGGCTACCTTCCCAGAAAAGCACAAGATCAAAGGTAGCTCTGGGGAAGAGGATTAGAATGTGATGAGGGTGCCAGCTCTTCACAGAACGCTGTAATTACTACCAAGTCCCATGGCCATAACCAAGACTCTGCCTCAAATGGTAAAGTGTTGTACAAATAAGCAACACCCGGAGAGTGAGGTCACCAGAATCTGCACAGTGCCGACTAGATGGCTCGCAGATAATGAAGTGGGGCAGTTCTTCCTTCCTGGAAAAGCAGTTCTAAGGGTCCATTCAGAAATTCACAGAACCAGATGACACCACAGATCCCCTTGCATTGGCTGGCTTTGAAAAGCCATGGCACTAGATTAAAGGCTCAGCTTCTGCTGTGTGAACCAGTGCAGTGGTGGAGACAGAGTAGTCCAGGAACGGATGGCAAATACCTATGAAGGCAATGGAATTAGGGCCTCTCCTCCACTCCATTCCCCAGTTGGGCTCATGCAGGAATCAGAGGAGGCTTTCATATCACTGAGCACCTGAGTTGGAGGTGGTGTTTAGGATCCTCAGTGTCCAGGTGAAGAACTAAGACAATTTAACCAAACCCAAGGTGATTTACTTGCCAAGAGTCTAGAATTTCTAACCCTGATTTAGGCCAAGATGAGCTAGGACCCAGCCTCAAAAGGGAAATGGTTGAAGACCAATAGCAAACCTAAGTAGCTTGAGGACATTAATTTCTCCCCATGTCTGTGTCAATGGTTCTTTATCCTGGGGCCCCTGACCACCTAAAGGTGAAGGTGAAGGCCATGTACACTTGAGTATTTGCTCATGTACAAAAAGCTGGTCTGCACCCGCATTTGTCTTCTTGAAACTTATAAGGAGATAAGGCTCAGAGGTTAAGAGCACTGGCTGCTCTTGCAGAGGAGCCAGGTTCAGTTCTCAGCACCCACATGGCAGCTAACAACCAATATGTAACTCCAGTTCCAGGGAATCCAATGCCCTCTTCTGACCTCCACAGGGATTACATGCATGTGGTACACTTACATACATGCAGACAAAACACTCATACACATACAATAAAAATAAATTTTAAACATTTTTTAAAGAATCTCCAGTCCAGGAGCCTTTTTTTCTGTATTCCATTGTCCAAGACATGCTCAGCACAAGACTTTGATGAAGGCACTAACATTTTTACACCCCACTTTCCTCATCTAAAAAAACACAGTTGATAGGTAATTTTATGTCACCTGTTAAAAGCACATGCTGGAGCTAAACCAAGGAAGTGGAATCAGGTGGCCTCTTACATCCCTCTGGCCTGGAGGGCCCGTGATCCACAGCTCCTCCCATGTCTGATTCAGACTCCCTGTGCGGGTGACACAGGGAGAAGGTCAGAAAGGAATGGTACCCTCTCCACCAGCTAGCCACAAGCTCAGTAAATGCGCCAAGAGCACCTGCTTATCAGGAAACAAGGTGAGCCACATTCTGCACTTTTCAGTGTTATCAAACCCATTGCCCTGTAATATGCAGGTGAATGAATCAAAGGAGTCTGGGGAACTTTTATGATCCACACAAAGGAGATTGTTATTTGATGGGAATGGGGAAAAACAATGTTGTGCATATACCTGAGTCTCTTCTGTCTAATTATGCCCTGGCTCCCAATAATGACAGCTCCAGAAGCCTAAAATGTGACTCTCAGATACCCTTAAAATCAGATTAGCCCCAGTCTCACTGGAGAAGTGAGGATAATCAGATAAGCTAGTAAGAACTGAGATGGGACAGTCTCTCCAAAGACAGCCACACCTTATTCCCACATAACTAAGAATCTTGAAAGACCCAAACCCCACAAACTTGCATTTTTGCACAAAGCAAAAGAAAGATCACCTAAGATCACCCAGGCATCACTCTCAGCCTCTGCTATATGCAGGAGACAGATGACTCAGTCTGTCTGTGGGTATATCAGAACCTAGTCAAGAAGAAGGCACACACGCACACAGAGCCACACAGATAGCCAGAAACACCCGGGTTTACTATTTGTTCTCACATTTACAGTGTTTCAGAGTGCAAGAGCTGGAATGGACTGAGAACCCAGTTTCCTAGTCTAATGATGTTAAAAATTGAGGCCAGAGAAGCTCAGAGACTGGCCATATTTTTTAGGAACAGAGCCAAGTATCCTGGACCTCTATGTAGTAATTTTTTTAAGTATTACAGAGAATAAAAAGGCACAAGTCAAAGACTAAATGTTGGAGAATCAGAATAAAGGACATAGACAAGGAGCTGGGGGAAATCAAGGAAGGTTCCAGGGAGAACTGAGTCGTGATTCAACTCAAACCTTCGCAAGTAGTTTAAGAGTACCAAGTGTTAGTGTGTACTGTGATTTATCCCTGTAAGAAATCTGTGAAATTGCTTCACCTTCTGAAGAAGAGGAAATTGAATCTTCACTTAGCCAACATTGCCCATGTTCTAGTTAATCCTGAACCCTGAGTTCTGTCCTGCCATGAATCTTTGAGCCTCCTTTACCAAAAGCTAGTCTTTGAGGATAAACGATATGGCAAGTAGAGGAATCTACTTAAAGAACTAGAATGAAATCCTTTGCTGCTTCATCTGAGACCTCCCTCCTTCAGAGTTTCCGAGAACTTCAGATATTGAAAAGCTGTGTTAGTTTCTTAGCACTTTCTTTTAATCACAAGTTACCACAAATTTAGTGGCTCAAAACAATAAAGATGCATGTAGCTCTGGAAGTCAGAAGTCTATAGAGGTCTCAATGGACTAAAATCAAAGTGTCAGTTAGGCTATCTTTTGTTTTTAGAGCCTTCTTGAGAGAATCTGTTTCCCTATTTTTTTCCAGCTTCTAGAGCAGCTCTCATTTCTGGTTTGTGAAGGAGAGGGAGGCGAGCCTTCCCATTCTACAGCTAATCACTTAACAGATTCCCCAAGTGATTTTGTGTCTTCAGGTATATCCATGGGTGCTCCAAATTCCTCCTGCCCAGGTGTCTGCCTCCTACCCGGCTTCCAGGGGCCTATGCTATACTCCACCAATCCTTCACACACCAGTCAAGAAAACCAAAGGTTCCACTTGTTCTGCTTCCAAAATCACTTCTTAAAACCTTTTAATGCTGCTGGGGAGGTGGCTCGGTGGGTAAGAGTGCTTGCTGTGCATGCATGAGGACCTGAGTTTGAATTCACAGCACCCAGCTGAAAATCCAGGCATGGCTGTGAATACCTCTAACCCCAGAATTGAGGGGATAGAGACAGGCAGATCCTGGCAGTGTGATGGCCAGCTAGCCTAGCTGAAACAGTGAGCCTCCAGTATAGCCACAGACCCTGTCTCAAGGAAATAAGGCAGAGAGCTATAGAGGAAAATGCCCTATGCCCTCCTCTGCTTCCGCATGCACACATGGGCACACACATCTTCACACTTGTGCATGCACCACACCACACACATCAATAAATTAACAAATAACAAGCAAATAAATGAAATAAGAACCTTTGCGTTATCGAGCATCCAAAACGTATATAAGCATTCCTGATTTCTGCCAATTATTTCTCTTAGGAAATGAACTACAACTATTTCTTCAAGGGTTTAACTTAAACTCAAACCAAAGGGATCAGGATCATTTTTAAAGTTCCTGAAATTTAGTCAACATTAGCATATAAACACAAACACCACTTTAGGGACAAGAATCTTCTCTCATAATTAATTTTTCCTTTTTTTTTTCTTAGGTATTTTTGAGACAGGGTCTCCCTGTAGCCCCAGCCGGCTTGGAACTCACTATGGAGACCAGGCTGGCCTTGAACTCACAGAGATCCGCCTGCCTCCACCTCCCGAGTGCTGGGATTAAAGGCATGCGCCACCACGCCCAGCAGTTTTTCCATTTTTAATTAAATGAAATCCTCCTCTACTCACAGGTACCCGCTGTTGCTCCTTCACTGTTGCATGTACCCTAACAATGATCATTTCTCTTCCCTTATCTTCCACTTACCATATATGTGACTTGGTCATAGATAGGAATTTACAACCCAGAATAATGTGTTCTTGCATATAAATAAGTGGAATTCTAGCAGGAATACTAAACACAACACAAATAGTGTAAACGATAAATACTCCAGGAGTTCATAAAGAGGTGAACGCTTTCTAATTATAGAAACCAGGAAAGGCTCTTGAAAGGCGGTAGACTTGAATGGAGCTTGAACTCTACTGAGTTTCTGAGGAGTACGCATCAGGCAAAAGTAACAGAGACATAGAGACAATGGGTGTGTTGGATTTGAACACACACCCCTACCTTTTATTGATCAAGTTTTTCAGAAGACAAGTAGGTGGGCTAACCCTGTTTCAACCTGTTTCTTGGTCACTAGAAAACGTCTCTAAGCAACTCTTCTTTTAATAGGGCATCATAACTTGAAGTTGAGAAGAGGAGGATGCCATGCTCTCTCCTTCTTCTCTTTACCCCTTTACTGCCCAACCCAAGATCATAAAATACTCTAATTTTTCTTAGGACTTTTATGCAAGGGAAAAAAAACCCTCATTCTGTCTAGGACACTAGGACACTGGACTAGAGACTTGGTGCTCTTAGTTTAGAACACCAAGGCAAGCCATCTTCAGCTGGGCCTGGAAGCATAATTCTTTGGGTTTCATGAACAGGCATCCAGTGGAAATGTCTGAAATAAGCCGTACAAGTCCTTGACCCAGACAGACCCCAGGCCTTGGGCATAGATTCTTCCTATTGGCAAAGATGAGATGAACAAGGTGGATCTTATCTCTCACCACATCCTGAACCAGTGTGGGCAGAAGAGGAACCTCAGCCCTGGTTTAACAGACAGATAACATTTTATGAACATTCTTTCCCTGCTGCTTCTGATGAAAGACTTCTGAGTGGAGCCCCTCCCTGCTGAGGTCTGGTGAGAACCCAGAGGCCAAAATGCAGGCTGATTAACAGGCATCACAAGCAGTGACTCAAACCATTCGTGATTTCAGATGAAGCTCGTTATGGTGACTCCACAATTAGGACCTCAGCCCACGTGGCCCATCGGTCCTTCAGGAGGCCAGACCAACCACTGTATAAAAGTTCCCACCTTCCTGGGCTCCACAATCCACATTCTTTATTGAGTCCTGTTGAAGAGCAGGTAAGTGTGTCCTCTCTCTGCTGCTCTGTCTGTGGGAGGCCACTGTTCCGCTCTTACCTTGGACTGTATTTTCTGCTGATTTTTTAAACAGCTTGCCATTTCTTGGGCTACTTTAACCATTCTGTATTTTTAATCTAGTGCATTGCACCTTATTTTTTCAAAAGAATGAGTCAAATAGAAGAGAAAAAAAAATCTGTAGTAGGACTGGGGCTTGCAAGTTTGGGTATGTAGACAAAAGCCATAAGAACACTTCCACTTTGGAGCTAAGTTATCAGAGGGAGCTGAGGTAGGGATATAAAAAGAGGTAAAATGGAGTCCTAGTTTGTATTCTCCCCCTTCTCCTCCTTCAACCCTTCATGCTTCACTCCCCAGCCTGGTGCTCCAACACAGAGCATTTAAAATCTTGTTTGCTTTCAGGTTCTGCAAATCACCCAAGATGTCCTTCAATGACCAGCAATGCAAGCAGCCATGTGTGCCACCTCCGTGTCTTCAAAAGACCCAAGAGAAGTGCCAGGCACAAACTGAGGAGGTATGCCTCCCCCAGTGCCAGGACCCGTGTCAAGATAAATGCCCACCACAAGCACAGGCGGTATGTCTTCCTCAGTGCCAGGAGTTAAGCCAAGGAAGCTGCCCACAGCAAGGCCAAGATCCTTGCCTACCTCCAAGCCAAGATCAATGTCTTCCTCAGTGTGTAGAGCCAGGCCAGGAGCTAGCCCAGACAAAATGTGTGGAGGAGATCCCACAGAAAGCCCAGGAGAAGTGTTCATCCCAGGGCAAGGGAAAGTAGCCGCTCGTGTGGTGGAGTCAAGAAGATGGCCAACAGAAGAAAGCCCAGCCCCAGTCCCCACTCTGGTGACCTTCCCCTGTGGGTATCTCTGTAGAATATACCTTCTTGTCTCCTGGCTTCCTCAGTATTTCAGGACTTGGTCTGTGTGTCTGAAGACAGTTTTCTGTATTTCATCAACCTCTGTGAATAAGTATTGTTCTCAACAGCTGGTGGAAGGGCTCAAATGTGGGAGTGGTGTGCTTATTAAGGGAGACCACCAAAGCCTAGCAACAGCTCCCTTGGGTCAAAAAACTACCCAGCCCACTCGGTATGTAATGACCAAGGATGTTTTAGTTCATCTTTCAGCATGTCAAGCTCTCAAAACAATCTGAATTTGATGGACTTTGTTATCATCACCACCACTACCAGGGGTGTTAAGAAAAGCTTTGTGGTGCTCAAGAATAAAAAAGTGTGTAATTTTGTCTCTGAATCCTGACAGAAAATGGTTGGCTATTGTAATGTTTATATGGTTTGTAAAAATGAAACAAAAAGATCCAAATGATTGACTCCAAACAGCCAGTGAGGGAATTCCATATGAGATGTTTGGATCCTTGTCAATCTTTATGCTTTGTAGATGGTCATCTTTGGACCGTTTGGTTCGCGGGGGCTTTGGGCACCACGTACGCTCTTTACATTCATGTCTCTGTGATGACAGCTGGTCATCTATCTCTCCGGCTTCCTTGCCATCTTCTTCTTGGTGAAAGTAAAGTTCATAATAAAGCTGACCCTAAGCCGATTGCTGCCTTGACGTGCATTCTTTCCACTGACGTCCGTGTGGCAATTGTATTCTTTGGGGAGGGAATCTGGAGAAGGAACAAAACAGATCTCATAGATGTATAAAACGTCAACACAGAGAAATCTTCAGGTCACCTGGACCAGCCCCCTCACAGCCTCTCAAGACTCATCTGCACGTATACTTTACACATAAGAAAATCTATCAAAGGACTGCAACCTGCCCATGCTCAAGATCCAGGTCCTTTCTACTACACCATATTTCCCTTTTTACCTGGTTTCCAGAGGAAAGGGAGGAAAATTGTGTAGAAGAGGTATTCCAAATCAACCCATGGATAGCTACAAGCATCAGAAGGAACTAAAGTTACCTCTGAGATGAACACAAATGTGGACCAGGCCATTTGGCCAGGTTTCAAGAAAGCTAGCCTTGGTAACCAGGCTACACTTTGGTGCCCCTCTACCTGAGGACAAAACCCAGCTGTGGATGTGTGTGAAAGGGCCAAGGAAGCGCAGGACTAGCATGAAAGGGCCAAAGGCTGCTTCCTCATGAGTGTGCTGAAGTCCGACCCTGGGGAAGTTATGTCAAGGCTTGACATTCCCTAACACCACACACACACACACACACACACACACACACACACACACACACACACACACACACACACACACACACACACACACACACCTCAGTCATGTAAATGAGGTGGAAGGCTGTGTAGAGTCCACGTCTCAGCTGTTTGCTGAACTAAGGGTGGGCCTGGTGGCACAAGGATCACACCAGCTCTCAAACTTGAGACTTTCTAGGGTAAGACAGTAATGTGGAATAATCAGAGAAGTTTTCAAGAGGCAACATAGAATCATATGTCATTCACCAAGTGTGTGGATGGCCGAGGCCTGGCACTGAGTCCTATAAACATTCACAAAGAGAGTCTAATGTCAGCTTCAGAGAAGTAAGATACCCTTTGTTAAGGAGCATGTCTGGCCTTGTAAAAGACCCTATGATAAAGTCAGGATTCTACCTAAGTCACTCTGACTCCTGAACAGAGTTTTTGCTGGCCTGACAAAAGTACATGTGACACACAGGAGAAACTTTTGGAAACTGTCTCTTTTAATGTTCCATCATCCTAGTGATGGCTCCCCAGTCATTTACTGAATGCAAGACACTAAACCAGATACTAGAGAGATGATGGAGCCCAGTGGTCAGCATCTCTATGTAGAGCCAGAAGCAATCTGCCAGGCACTCTCACCAATAGCTTTTTTCCCAAACCCTCCTGCATCTCTCAAGTCCCTGAACCTCTCCAGATGCCCGAATCACAGTTCTCTCGCCCCACTGACTAGTTGGAATAGGTTTTTCTCACCATCTCCCAGCTTGAGACTAAGTCTGTTGTTCTCTAGGGCCCAGCTGATTCCCAGCTGAATCCTGCCTGCACAATGGCCCCAGAAAGACCTCTCAGTGATACTTCTTTTGGTTGACAGTTTCACAAATGTGTCTCTAGCTTGGTTCAAGCCCAACAAAAGTCTTTGTTCACTGATAATAAAGGCACGCACAAATTGGAGTCCAAGATCAGAAACCCAGATCTTCAGAGGAAGTGTGGGGCTAATGAGCAGGACCAGTCCAGCCCTATCAGAGAGAACAGTCTGGTGATTACAGGGGAGGCCTCAGAAGATGGGAAGGGTACAAGGCTGCAGATTTCAGATAGGAAAGCAGACACCAAGCAGCCAGAAAAACCGTCATCTATCTGTCATGGGAACTTGCACACAGCTTCATGATCACAGAGCTCTGAGCTAGCCCCTGCCCTGGCTACCGGCTGCTGGAACTTCTTAGCCTACGACCATAAACCCCAGAAGCTATTAAGAAAGGAAGGGACATTACCAAAGAGACTCCCAGTTGTTAGGGCTTCTAGGTGATAGTTACCTGAGTATGTGATAATACTGGGCCTGTGAGTCCCATATACAAAAAAGAAAAAGAAAAACTGACAGATATTCAAAGGAGGGTGACATGAATTCACTTATCCATTCAAGAGAGCCATGGAGAGCCCCCATGCCAAAGTGCTGCATCTGGCTCCAGTGACCCGTGATGGCCTGAGAAGAGAAGGGGCTGAGAACAATGGGAAGACCTTCAGACGAGGAGCTCTAGACTTATATTTGGTAGAGGAGAAAACAGCACAGGAAGCAATAGAGAGGTCCTCGCATATTTTACTATTGTCTAAGAGACAAGAATGAGATTTCTGTCTAAGAGACAAGACGCAGCTGTGGATGCAAGAACTGGAGGTATGCAAGTGAGGGGACAATGTCGGGCCTTCCAATGTCCCTCATTCTGAGACAACCAACTCTCTAGGTAGAACCCGGACCTGGGGCAGGAGTCCTCCAGAGGAAACAGAGACTCAGAAACCCTGATCTCAAGGTGAGGAGACAAGAAGTCCACTGACCTCTAGAATACTCTTAGATAGCTTTCTGAAGTGCTCAACTCCTGGGACCAACAGAGCATGTGACCACAAAGCTAAAGCTAAAAACTAAGGACAGTCAAGTGACAGGAAGTAACTCACGTTCATGTGGAGCTTTCTAGTATGTTTTCTGGGCACCTAGGAGATGTCAGTCCTAAGTGTATTATGGTGATTCCTCGCTGCCTTCCAAAGCCCATCTCCTAAGTTAGGTTTTTCCTCCCTGCCTCTCTTCCCTCTCTTCCTATGCCTTTGCTATTTGGACTTCCCTTGTCTGCTATACCTAAGTGGCCCACCTGGTTTTGGACATAACAACCCATCACAGCATCCTTTCTGCCTGCACCCGCCTCTTTCCAACTCAAGATTCCCCACTGTTGTGTTTACCAATTCATAAAAATATCTCCAAGATGTCAGGCCCATTTCCTAAGGATATAGAGGAGATACGGGGAGAGCCATGACTGCCCCTTAGGCTCCATGTAGCTGTACTGGTCCCAGGGATCTGTACCGTGCCCTCCCCATCCCTTGTAACTGTCTATGTGTGCATCGCATGTATCTTCTGACAGTGAGCAGCCCAAACTGCTTCTGAACCTTGCTGTGCTGTTCATCTAACCCACCTGGGCCAACCACCCTAGGTCTAAGACACTCTCTCAGTCAGCAATCCAGGACAACCTCTGAGGCAGGGACAAAGAATGATAGCCTCTTGGGTCCCTTCATCATTACTGACAAGGTGATCAACTCATCTCAGTTTGCTTAGAACTTCCCACTTTTCACACTAGAAATCCTGTATCCTGGGAACCCATTCAGTTCTGGGCAAGCTGGGACATTGGTCTCCTTCACTGTGTATCTGCATACATAAACATGATGTTTGGTTCTGTGAAAGCCAAAGGAGAAACAGGTAAGGCTGCATACTGGAGCAGTTTACAGGCCAGGAGACCCTTCTGGAAAACTGAAGGAAATTGAAGGGTTAATGTCCAGTGCCTGTCTCCTTCGTATCCATAGTCAGGTGTGTGTGTGTGTGTGTGTGTGTGTGTGTGTGTGTGTGTGTGTGTGTGTATGTGTTTGCGGGAGATGCTTGCGGGAAGATGCAAGCTGACTGGCATCTCCCCAGCCAGTCCCGCAGCCAGCCTGTCCTCCTTTGGAAGTCGCTAAGTACCCATCTTTCTCCTTTCCCAACAGCACCACCTAATGACCATAAATAAACTTAGCCTTCTGCTGGACACACTTAGCCTGGCAGAGTCAGAGACAGCCTCAAAGGCTCGGCTGGAGCCAATAAGCCTGCTAGTCCTCTGGAGATGGAGAGCAAATATTGGTGCAGAGAAAAGAGAAGCTGCAAGGTTTTCTGCAGGGCAGATCGTCTTGCAAGGCCTATTCTACAAATCGCATTTGATGGTGGATATTCACCAACTTGTGGTCCTTCAAATAAATGGTAACAAAAGTATGAGGCCTCTGGACACATTGTCATGGTAAGGGTTGAAGAACCAGGTACTTCATCCAGACATGAGATGATTTAAGAATACATGAACTTGTAATGCTAATTACTCTTGCCTTTACTTCTTCACATCTCCCATTCATAATTCAAGGACTTTCTTCTCCCCTTAGAGACAAAAGTTATGCCATTTGGGAGTCTTTTAGATAGACCCACTGAAGGGGTGCTCCAATTGCCTCACCCTGAGTCCCTGTTCAGCATGGAAGAAGCCAGAGCAGTCTGCGTCCCTATTCCCTATTGGCAATCTGGGTAACCCCTTCAGAGGGTGGTGTGATTTGATCAAAATACCTTATATGTATGTA